AAAAAAAGAAGAAACTGCAGAAATGACCTTGTGCAGCTTGAGCCTGTGACTCAGTATTCCTCAAAAATGTCCAATTTAGAACATCCTTTTCCCATGGCCCTCCAAATTCTGCTTGGATCTGCAAAACAAATGTAGGCTAGCTCTGCTTATCATCATCAGTAGCAAATCCTGTGGGGTCAAGTGTCATTCACGTCATCTTCACTATGATTCTGTAGTCAGAGCTGAACCGGGGGTTGAGCGGTGCAATGGGGCGGCTGCACTAACTGGGTCAGTGCGGCACAGGCTCCCATGCCTGCCTGTGTTCTGCAGAGATAACAAGAAGTAAAAATGTGGTTTTGTCACCAAAATGACAAAGGTGACTTTAAGCAGCCCTGCTCCAGGAGGCTGTTATCACGCTGTCACTTCTCCAACCATACTTTTGCCCTAAGTGAATGGCATTTTAAGGTTGTGCATAGTCTCTGCTGCCTTGTCTTTCAGAGAGGTGCGTCCCTTGGTAGCTTCAGCTCTGCAGTTCCTCAGTAATTACAACTTCTGGAGAAAGTTTGAAGGTAAATAAGGGAGAAGAAGAAACAACCCAAGGCCAAAGCACTTCATCCACTTGTCTGCCCCAGAGGGGGTGGGAAAGACCAGGCTGGACGAGGCCTTGGGTGATATGGTTTAGCGTGAGGTGTCCCTGCCCATGGCAGGGGGCTTGGAACTAGATGATCTTAAGGTCCTTTCCAACCCTAATTATTCTATGATTCTAAGTTCACTATTACACTATTTAGAATATGAAAGGACCTTAAGATCATCTAGTTCCAAGCCCCCTGCCATGGGCAGGGACACCTCACGCTAAACCATATCACCCAAGGCCTCGTCCAACCTGGTCTTGAACACTGCCAGGGATGGAGCATTCACAACCTCCCTGGGCAACCCATTCCAGTGCCTCACCACCCTAACAGGAAAGAATTTCCTCCTTATATCCAATCTAAACTTCCCCTGTTTAAGTTTTAACCCGTTACCCCTTGTCCTGTCACTACAGTCTCTAATGAAGAGTCCCTCCCCAGCATCCCTATAGGCCCCCTTCAGATACTGGAAGGCTGCTCTGAGGTCTCCATGCAGCCTTCTCTTCTGCAGGCTGAACAGCCCCAACTTCCTCAGCCTGTCTTCATAACTTCCCTCTTTCCTTCAAAACTGAGGTACTTAAAGGGAGGAGAAAAGTTGCTTTATTGTTCATATCTCTTCCACTCTCTAAGTAAGCATCACCTCAAAATTGCATGCAGCATATACTCATTTTAGTGTAGACATGGAATATACATATGAGAAGCTAACTGCTGCACAGCATTTTATACAGAACATTTTATAGTCCCTTTCCAGTCGTTATGGATTATTTGAGAGCTCTACTTGAAGGATTTTGATGCTCAAAAATAAATATTACCAATGTATTTCACATCTGTCTCCATCTGAAATATCCACAGCTAATTAAGGAAAAGGAATCCTGTGCTGAGAGACACATCTTTTGAAACTCAGTTACGTGGGAAGCACAAGGAAGCAGGTCATTTCTGTGATGAGGAGGACGAATTTGCAGGTGTGCAAGACTAAGTAAGGTAAAAGAGAAAAAAGACTTTGAGTCTGTGCTGCTATAAGCACCAGTATTTTACAGATCTGTAAGCAAGAAGGACTGAGTGTATCTGGGAGCATTTCTAGCATTGATAGGATGGTTATTTGCTGCTCATCAATCACCTTCCTTTCTGTTCAGAGATGCCTCTCAGCTGGCTTTGTGCATTGAACTCAGTACAAGTGCCACTCTGCTGATGCCGAGTGTTCAGTCTCATGTGCTCCAGGCTCCAGCTTCCTAATGCTTTGTGTGCTTGTGCTGCATCACGAAGTTCCTGTGGCCTCATAGGGTGGTATTTCTGGTGTTACGATCTCCTTTTTGCCACAGAACTTGGCTGCTCAGGGCCTGCAGCTGGAAGTGGGTATCACAGATCTATTGGAAAGTTTTACCCCGAAGCATCGCTGGTAAAGCCTCCTTGGAATTTATATAACTGCCTCCTGGACTTTTTTTAGCTGCCCTTCTTATCCATGGCAGTGCTATAAAGTTCCTGTTATCAAGAGGAGGATTTCATCTCCATCTGTTCAACAGCTTGGCTCGCGTTCATCCTGCCTAACTTTAGACACTTCAGAGGTGCCTAACGTAAGAGCTTAATCCAGCAAGGTTTTCAGCCCTCAGTGGCTTACCCGTCAAACAAGGAGCCTAATGCAAGGCAAGCACCTAAACTGAAGGTCCTTCTTAATAAAAAATAACTAAAATGTGGTGTATGTGTGCACAGCAAGGATTGTTTTCTATTAAATTTTTTCCTCTATATTCCCCCCCACCACCACTTTTTTAATTGTGCAGGATTATTCCTTGTGTGTTACCAGTCCAGGCCTCTGCATACAAACCCCTTCAAATCCTGCTAAGAATTTACTGCTGTGTCCATAATGACTCTGAGGAATGAGGATTTGATTGTGCTGTGTTTTCTGCATGCTAATGAAATGGGACAAGCATAATCCTGTCCTGACGGCTTTTCCTTTAGGTTAATCTGGCCGCGCAGCTGCAGTCCTTTTACAGCAACGGCAAGGAAAAGCCTCGACTGCCAGACGAGCATGCCTGCCCCTGTTAAGAAACCATGTTAGTGGGCGTGACACTGAAAGTCAAGTGTTTTCTGACACGTTTTAAGTCCTCGGTGAACACGAGATGAACGGAACTCAGCTGGCTTTGAGGTTTAACATGCGGTCACTGCGGCTGATGTAGCTGAGGAGGTGCCGTGCTCCCAGCACCCAGCCCCGGTATCTCTCTTCACGCCACAGGGCACTCGGCCCGCAGCCGTCTCACAGCTGCCGCCTCTCTGAGGCGTGGAGGGCGGAGCCGGAGGCCCCGAGCTCTCTGATAGGCTGGCGTGCTGATTGACAGCAGGAGTAACCTATGAGAGATGACGCCTCGCGCGGCGGGCTTTAGGCGTCGCTCGCGACAGCCTCTCCGCGGCGCCATTTTGTTTACTGGACGCTTCGTGGAAGGCGAGGCGCGACGGGACGCATCGGTGAGGGCGCGGCGCTGAGGGAAAAGGGCTGTGGGGAGGCGGGTGGTGCCGGCTGCTGAGCCACCCCTGATCTTGTTTTTAGAGGGGAGCAGAAGGGTTCAGTGTGGCGGTTCCCCCATGGCACCTGTGTGGGATCCCCTCAGCGGGCATCTGCACTGCTGTGTGCTGCTGTCTGGAGAGCGCTGAAATGCTCAGAAGAAAATGTTAATTGCTGGAGGTTGATAATGAGGAAAACCTCTGCTGAACTTGGTAGTGTGTTGCCTTTGTGGAGATGTCAATTTCCTGACAGTTTCCATGGCATTTAAATAGTCTCTCTTTTGCCCTTTGGAGACAACAGTGTAGGCCCCTCAGGTTGAGGAAGGTGGCAAGTGCTCCTCCTGTGTAGCATCAGTACCTGTTACTCTAGTGGGTAATTTTCACGCCAGCTTGTTACAGATACAGATAGGTTTGTGCCTTTCTTGCGCCAGCTTTGCTGAGAGGTGAATTGAGGCCTCCTGAAGTGGAAAGCTTTGAAATAGGATGTGAGAACTCATAAAGCACTGTGCACTTGAACAGTCTATTCTGTAATGTGATGCATGGCTGCCTTGTACCTTTCACCCCATGGAGACCCTGCACAACAAGAGGCCGATCAGGTCACTAACTGCTGAGCAGGTTAGGGCAGTCCGTTCCTTCCTCCTCCCTGCTCTAGGCTCTGCTGAGCATTGGTTGTATTCTGATGCTGGAGGTACAAGAAGCTCCAGTAATGAAACAAAATCTGCTTCCATAAATCTTAGACTCACTGAGGTGTAATGCTTGTGTAGATGCGTAAAAGGAAGCTATTTGTGTACTAATGGAGCTACTGGACAAAAAAAAAAAACTATTATAGTTTATGTGTTTACATATGAAATGCATACAAATGTATTTACATAAGGTGAAAAGTACTGTAAATAGAACTTTTCAGATTTCTGCTCCTGAAGATAAGGAGTTATCTTCAGATAATGAGGAGATAATGAGTTATCTGACCTCCCCCTCAGGATTCCAGGAGCAGTTTTCTACCCAATTTTGAGAAATGTCTTGCATTTTTGACTGAGTAATTATATTAAAGAGTTTGGCCTAAATTGGCATGGATGGAGTTGCTGCAGATGGCACTGTAAAAGTCCTGGACCCTGCAAGATGTTTAAAGAGCGATGTTAAATAGCAGGGTTCTTAACAGAAATCATCTTTGTTGAATGATCTTTTAATGGTAAATTAAGTGCTCTCTATACTTTGAGAGAGCTAAAATCTATTTTAATAAAATTCAGCAATTAGGTAATTCAAGCAATGAATTAATAAAGACAGACTCTGTCAGGATGCCAGATAGCATCTAGCCAGAAATGCAGATTTCAAGATAATTCTTTTTGTTCTGTCTTATTCTTCCTACATGTATTATTGAGTCTGCTTGGCATGTCATATTAATTCTACATATTCTGGAGTGGAGGTAAAGAAAGAAAACGTTTGCAGGTGCATTTCATGCAGGTGCATGTTGTACTTTGGTATTTTTTGCCTCAGGACACTTGAATGTGTGCTGAGTTTCTGCTTGTCTAATGATTAACTCTACGAGGCCTAAGCCTCCAGTTTTGCTAAAAAGCACACTCTGATGAGTATATTCTGTTGTATTAGGTGCAGATTTACAGTGTGGTAGAACTGATCTAATGATCAGGCTGCACTAAGAGGTCAGTCCTCTCCCAGGTGAACATTGTCACTGGCTTCTAGTGATATCTGTCTGTGTGTACCAGTGCTCGTGTGAGAGGGGCAGGTCTGCAGCCAGCCTGAGGGTCAGTTGCTCTGGAGTCACATCCTTAGTTTGCAGCGGTAGGGGCGGAGTAGTAAAGTTTTACGCTTTAGGCTCTACTTAGTCCAGTGGGATTAACTGGAGCATCTTAAAATGGTTTTGCAGTAAAGACATCCTGTAGCTCTATTGTTATGACTCTTCCTTTTGCTGTAGACAACTCTGGTACTTTAATGCTGCTTTGCACTTTTTATAATGAAAAGGTTTTGTGGTAACTCTGTTGTGAGCTTGATTTTCTGTAGGTAGGTGATGTAGAAAAGCTGCTGAGTGGGTTTTTCTTGGAGATAAACTATTGCCAGTTGAGTTTTTTCTAAGAGAAGGGTGTGCCATAAGCTCTGTACTAAAAAGTACTCTGAACTAGATGTGGGTGACACATGACACAATGAACTGTGTCTTCCAGATATGCCTCACTATTTATTTTGTGGTTTATGATTTTCCTTTGCTTTGGGATGGGAGAAGGAGGAGCATATACCAGCATTCCGGATTGATGCTGTCTTGACGCTGCAGTGCCGACATCAGAGGTGTTTGCCCTCGGGTGCCAGTTGCCATGGGCTTTCAGAATAATGGCTTGCACTGGCTTGCCAGCAGAGCACCTGGTAGTGCCTTAGAATATTCTTCTTACAAATTGAGCAGCGTTTAGTTCAGACCAGCAATAAAACTGCTTAAACACGTAGTTACCTGACTAGAGCATTCCATGTAATTCTGTTATGAGTCTTCTCTGAAAGTTGTGTTTTGTTCTTGTACAGAAAAGATCTGCTAGGAGGAAGTATAGTAAAATTCAAGCATGTGTAGTAAAACAAAACATGCTGGAAGTAAATCTGTGGGATGTTTTTATAATACATCTTGAACTTGGTTGAGAGTACTTGTAAGTCTTTGAGTTACTCTCTTGCTTTTCTAATACTTGTTAAGATATGATCTGTAGCAAACTTTATAGCAAAAGTTCATCACATAATAGTGAAAAGTTTCTCAGAATATGAAAACTGTGGGTTACTTAAAATGTTAGGGCAGAAGTGGTTTTTATCAGCTTTATTGACTTTAGTGACAGTTGGGGGTGATGTGACAGTTTTTCTTTTGCTATACCATGGTTTCACCTTGTGGGCCTTCACTGTGCAGCTTAAATCTATACATGGCTCTCTCTGGAGGGGATGACTATTCAGAACACAGGTTGTTTTATAGAAGTGAGCACACTGTTCTAGTTATCATGTTGCAGAGGTTCACCGTGGTCAATAGCCTGTGTGACAGAAGTAATGATTTTTAGGAAGTTTCTGCAGTGCTTCAGATGCAATCACAGCCATTCCAGACTCAGACTCCATAAAGTGTGGAAGTTATGAGATTTGCAGACTGCCAGATATGAGCAGAAACCCTCATCGTGCAGGGTGTACAGTCAGAGTATACCATGAATACATAAAAGCTGTGTGTTTAAACTCCCTGCTGTGAGCATCTGTTAATGCATAGAGGTGCCTGTGTGATCCAGGGTAAAGGGTAGCCTTGGAGCCACAGTCATAAATGAATGTTGGGAGGTGACACTCGAATGACTCCTGATGGGGTTTTCTAATCTGTCTGGCCAGTTTATCTCACTGCCCTGCAGATTCCATTCAATTTCTGTGCCTGAGAAAAGGTAGTAAAATACTTGCTGACATGAGACTGCGTGCTGTGCCACTGTCATCTTTCATGATGTGAGCAGAGGGGTTTTATCAGTTCTTTTAAGAATACCACAGAAAACCACTGTGGTTTTGGCACTGTTCTTGGCTGACAGGAAAAGAGGGAAGTGGCTTAATGGCTTCCGTGCCCTGAAGGCTTATGCTAGTTTAAAGAAATGGTTTTATGGTAATTTAATACTTGTGAGTGGATTAGAAAGAGGCGGAGAATGAAGGCTTGTTACAGTTGTGTACTCTGTATTTGAGCTCTCCACCTACCCAGGGCATGGTGGGGCTGCTGCTGCATAATCCCATTAAGAATCACTTGTGGAACAAGATCTCATCCAGTATGGTGGGGAAGGGGTGGCATTTCTAAGATATAACTGAGTCTCCCTAAGGTGTTTTTTGCATGGTGTGGTAGAAGACCCAGCATGCTAGAAGAGCTCTGGAATCCTGTGCCAGACCTATGAATTATGGATGAGATGTCTGCTGCTAGCACAGACACAAAGAGCAAACCGTGGAGCTCCTGGGTGCCTTCAGTCTCAGCATTACAGTAACTGGCTGTTTTTAGAATCCACAAGCAGCACAACAGCCTGCTCTGATCGGTGAAGGTCAGTTACAGGTGCTGCTCCCTTCTGTGGTTAGGACAGAGTGAGGAGTCCAGTAAAAGTAGCATAACTGGGAAGTTCTAAATTATGTGCATGGCTTCATTCATTTGTAATCAGTGAGAATAATTTAGTGTACTTGAATTTAGTTTGTTTGTCATCTTTCACCTGACACTGCTGCGTGTTTCTGATCTGGGATATGCTCATCTGGCTGTACTGGTTTCTTTGGGGTTTTTAATTTAGTTATTTTTTGCAAGGGAGGGAGTTGTCTTTTGCATTGGCTGTGTGATTTTTAATTTGTTCCAGTATTAAAATAAGCCAGCTCATTGTCCCAGACAAGTCTGAATAGTCCATGTGCCTTTTGTACATAGCAAGCAGGGTGAGAAATTAAGTAGAGTATAAAATATCCTGAGATAGCTGCTTGAACATGCATCACGGTCTTGGCAGACCAGTTCCATTGTGCTTCTATCAGATGCTTCAAAGCAGATGCCTCCCTTAAGGAGCTTTGTGGTTATTACCCTCAGCTATATGTAGAACAAAATTTACAGAACAAATGATTGGACTAATGACAAGGAATCTGTGATAGTGCTCTTTCTGTACAGGTCAGCCAGAGGTGCGAGGGACAGACCCTTTTTTGTAACCATGGCATCACTGCAATGGTTTATCGCTTCCAACTCAAAGTGCTAAGCTGTTGTGTAGGGAAGATCCCACCCCTCAGCCAGGAAGGGTGCAGGCAGGGCTCTGCCTGTGCTCTTGCCAAGATGAAATGGAATTGCCTGGAATGAGGTCTGGTGGTTGAGGCTTGCAAACTGGCTCTTGGCTTGTTCTGAAGAGCACCTTTCTTCCCAGATCGCATGGAAACAGAGTCCTCAAAGTCAGTTTGGATCAGTTTTTTGCAATTTGCCTTAATTTTCTGGGGATTTAAGCCTTGAATCTTAACCAGCATAAGGAAGGTTTTTGCAATAACTATTAATAGAAGATGGAGAAAGCTCTCCTCACCCTTCTTCCAGTCACTGGGATTTGCTCTCATTTTTGTTTTTCAGGTTTATTTATTCACACCCTAAACTAAGGCAGTCATAGACCTCTGCAGTTCCCAGGCTGCAGACAGTTCTGTGTCTTCAACATGTAACACCATCTTTCTCAAAACCAGGATAACTGCCCTGTGCGATGCAACCACTGTCCACATGCTTACTATGTGCTGTATGCAAAAATCTTGTTGCTTCCTCAAGACCTGTAGTGTCAGCAATAAAGGAGTTTGGGTGGAACTGCTTTGCAGGTCAACCTAATTTGATTTACTGGGCTATAGTTTGCCATCTTGCGCTGTTTCAGCCTTCCCTCTTCTACTGGAATCAGAAGTTACTCAGATTTTTAAAATCTCTTTGACTAAATCCTAACCAGCAGGGCTGAGTCTGCCTTTTCCTGCAAGCAGGAGATCTCATCTTTGGTTATCTGTTGGCATCTAAGCACGTATATGAGAGGGTGAGAGGGAAGTGTTATTTGTGTTGGGCTATGTGACCTTTTTTTGAGATTCAAATGCCTTTCTAGATTTTTGTTTTGTGCCTGGAGCAAAAAGGGCCTTTTTGTATTATTGTAACAAGAGTACACACAGCCTTCACAAATAAATATGCTGAAATATATAGCCCAAAGTGAAGATTAATTCAAGGCCTTGAAAGCGTTAGCAGCTCAAGTTTCTTCCAGTTGAATGTAGCAAGGATTGGGGTTACAAAAAGGAAGGAAAATTTACAGCTTAGCAAATGGGAAAGAGAAGAATTCTTTCTAGCTGACTTGCTGGAACTCAAATCCTGCAGCAGACAACTGAAGTCAGCATTATGTTGTGAGCAATCAAGAGAGGTGACACCCTATTCTTGCAGAAAGAGGGGTGCTGTTCATGAAGAATTTGTGCTAGTTTAGCAAAGGGGATGCTTCTGGTTTATTGAAGGCTTGCCGTGTTAAGGATAGGTAATAGTCAAGCAAGTGTAAAGTGCCAGCAGGGAGTTGTGCAGCAGAGATGGAGATTCCTCTCGTACTGGGGAGACTCTTGTATTAGGTACTTGATGGGGGAACTGAAGGGGAGTGCAGTAGTCTGTGGGACACATTTTGAGCATGAAATTCACATCACCACAGCTGGCATCCAGTGGTCAGTTTTGTAATCTGGTTCTGGATTTACTCTTTGTGGAACAATAGGAATTGATCCCATGCTGAAGTCTTTAACTAATAGTTGTCACCCAGTTAGCAGTCCTGTGGCAAGTTGGGTGTGGTTTGGTCTGTCATGCATCTAAGTGCTCACAAACCTAAATGCTGACATACTGCTTCTGATATAGTTTTTTTTTGGAAGAAAGCCTGGAATCATCAACCATTTATAAGTCTTGTGGAAGGTTGTCTGTGAGCCTGGGGAACATAGATGTCCTTGTTTGAGATACTGTTAAATATCCTACTTTTCTTTTGAAAGTAGACCTTTATTTGCCCTCTGCATTAACTGCTTTTCCTTACCATTTTGCAAGTCTCTTAAAACAGACCAGCATCAAAGTAGACCAGTGTGAGGGATGGTTTATTGCTTGCTGTACACAGGCCAGAGGTGTGCTTTTGAGTAAGTAAGAGCTTTTGTCCACCCTCACTGTCCCAAACGTCTGTTACAAAACCTTGCATTTGGGATCTGTTGTTTATTCATGAAAAAAAGGAACTGACATCTCGATAAATGAGGCTGCTGAAATTAAGAGAAAGTAGGACATGAAATTTCCATTGTTTGGTATTGTGTGTTTATTGTAAAGTGAGACTAGAGCCAGTTCTCTGATTTTTTTTTTTTGGGCCGGTTTGGAGATGCAGCAGTTCTTTGCATGTGGAAGTGACAGGCTGCTTGTTAATTTCATGAATATCACTCACTAAATATTTTTTTTTTCCTACTTTCTCTCTGAGCAAATAAACGTTTTCAAGGTGCTTTGATTACAGCAAGATGAACTGGGCATCCTGCTTTGTAAGCAGATGGCTCCTTTTGCATGGATC